TTCATTATTAACCCAGTAATATACACCCAATACAGGAGAGCCCAGATTTGTAAAGCAACTTCTGCTTTTTGTTTTTGTTTTTTTTGCTTTCCACTTGCTTGGTAAATATCCTTCCATCCCTTTATTTTGAGCCTATGTTTGTCTTTGCATGTGAGATGGGTCTCCTGAATACAGCACATTGGTGGGTCTTGGCTCTTTATCCAATTTGCCAGACTGTGTCTTTTAATTGGGGCATTTACCTCATTAACATTAAAGTTAATATTGTTCTGTGTCAATTTGATCCTGTCATTATGATGGTAGCTGGTTATTTTGGCCATTAACTGATGCAGCTTCTTCCTGCCGTTGATGGTCTCTACACTTTGGTATGTTTTTGCAGTGGCTGGTACCAGTTGTTTCTTTCCATGTTTAGTGCTTCCTTTAGGAGCTCTTGTAAGGCAGGCCTGGTGGTGACAAAATCTCTAAGCATTTGCTTGTCTGTAAAGGATTTTATTTCTCCTTTGCTTATGAAGCTTAGTTTGGCTGGATATGAAATTCTGGGTTGAAAATTCTTTAAGAATGTTGAATATTGGCCCCCACTCTCTTCTGACTTTTGTAGGGTTTCCACAGAGAGATTTGCTGTTAGTCTGATGGGCTTTCCTTTGTGGGTAACCCGACCTTTCTCTCTGGCTGCCCTTAACATTTTTTCCTTTATTTCAACCTTAGTGAATCTGATGATTATGTGTCTTGGGGTTGCTATTCTTAAGCAATATCTTTGTGGTAGTCTCTGAATTTCCTGAATTTGAATGTTGGCCTGCCTTGCTAGGTTGGGGAAGTTCTCCTGGATAGTATCCTGGATAATATCCTGAAGAGTGTTTTCCAACTTGGTTCCATTCTCCCCATCACTTTCAGGTACACTGATCAAAGGTAGATTTGTTCCTTTCACATAGTTCCATATTTCTTGGAGGCTTTGCTCGTTTCTTTTCACTCTTTTTTCTATCATCTTGTATTCTCCCTTTATTTCATTGAGTTGATCTTCAGTCTCTGATATCCTTTCCTTCACTTGATTGATTCAGCTGTTGATACCCGCATATGCTTCACGAAGTTCTCGTGCTATTTTTCAGCTCCATCAGGTCATTTATGTTCTTCCCTAAACTGGTTATTCTAATTAGCAGCTCCTTTTAATCTTTTTAGCTTCCTTGCGTTGGATAAGAATATGCTCCTGTAGCTTATAGGAGTTTGTTATTACCCACCTGCTGAAGTCTACTTCTGTCAATTCGTCAAACCCATTCCGTGTTCAGTTTTGCTCCTTTGCTGGCAAGGAGTTGTGATCCTTTGGAGAAGAGGTGTTCTGGTTGTTGGAATTTTCAGCCTTTTTTGCGCTGGTGTCTCCCCATCTTCATGGATTTATCTGCTTTTGGTCTTTGATATTAGTGATCTTTGGATGGGGTCTCTGAGTGGACCTCCTTTTTGTTGATGTTGATGCTATTCCTTTGTTTGTTAATTTTGCTTCTAACAGTCTGGCCCCTCTGCTGCAGGTGTGCTGGAGGTCCACTCCAGACCCTGTTTGCCTGGGAATCACCAGCGGAGGCTGCAGAACAGCAAAGATTGCTACCTGTTCCTTTGGAAGCTTCGTCCCAGAGGGGCACCTGCCAGATGCTAGCCAGAGCTCTCCTGTATGAGGTAACTGTTGGCCCCTACTGGGAGGTGTTTCCCAGTCAGGATATACAGGAGTCAGGGACCCACTGGAGGAGACAGTCTGTCCCTTATCAGAGCTTGAATGCTGTGCTGGGAGAGCTTACCTCTGCTGAAGCTATGCTCACAGTCACCCCTTCCCCCAGGTACTCTGTCCCAGGGAGATGAGGGTTTTATCAGTAAGCCCATGACTGGGGTTGCTGCCTTTTTTTCAGAGATGCCATGCTCACAGAGGAGGAATCTAGACAGGCAGTTTGGCCGCAGAGGCCTTGCTGAGCTGCAGTGGGCTCCACCCAGTTCAAACTTCCCTGCAGGTTTGTTTACACTGTGAGGGGAAAACCACCTACTCAAGCCTCAGCAGTGGTGGACGCCCCTCCCCCCACCAAGCTCAGTCTTCCCAGGTTGACCTCAGACTGCTGTGCTAGCAGCAGGAATTTCAAGCCAGTGGATCTTAGCTTGCTGGGTTCCGTGAGAGTGGGACCCACCAAGCCAGACCACTTATCCCCTTGGCTTCAGTCCCCCTTCCAGGGAAGTGAAGGGTTTTACCTCGCTGGCATTCCAGATACCACTGGGGTATGAAAAAAAAAAAAAACTCCTGCCACTAGCTCGGTGTCTGCCCAAATTGCTGCCCAGTTTTGTGACTGAAACTCAGGGCCTTGGTGGCGTGGGCACCAGAGGGCATCTCCTGGTCTGTTGGTTGCGAAGACTGGGAAAAGCACAGTATCTGCGCTGGAATGCAACGTTCTTCCTGGTACAGTCTCTCATGGCTTCCCTTGGCTAGGGGAGAAAAATCCCCTGACTCCAAATTTTCTCCTGCAGCTTCCTCATCTCTCACATTTAGATGCCATTGTGGGGTTATTAATTGGCCTAATTTCAGTACTGTTGTGTGTCAGGAAATAGGAAGGCCAGAAAAGTAGGGGAGAGAGAAGGGAATGGCCGATCAGTGGAGCAGTTGGAAGACACACATTTGTCAATTATGTTTACCCCAGGTGGTGAAGGGGCCAAGTGGTGGGGTGAAGGTTCAGGCTCACCACTGAGCCCCCTTTGAACATAGGCAGGGGGTGGGGTGGCTTCCCACTAGAACACATGGGCCCCACTGATACCATAGGAGTGGGGGGAGTTGTTTCTCCTGGATCAGGGTGAAAGTCTAGGCTCCCAATATAGCCTCCAGTGACACCATGGGAGTGGCCCTCATCACCATCTTGCAGGGATAGAAGTCCCACACTCCCTACTGGGCTAGCTTTGACATGGCTCCAGCAGGGGATGGGGAGGCCTCATTACAACAGGCAAAGGAAAAGGTCTAGGCTCCCCACTTGGCCTTTGCTGATGAGGCTGTGGGGTTTGGGCCATGGGTTTTCCATGGTGTTTGCATAGAGTAGGGCAGTTACTGTCTGAGAGCTCTCCATCTTTCTAGGTTGCCCTGTCCTGATCCTTTGGCTAGAGATACCAGGCTTTGCTTAGCTGTCGGCTCCTATTGGTGTTTCTGGGGTACCAATTTCTCCAGCGCTCAATCTGAGCTATATGAGGCAAAAGAAAACCCAGGTAAGTCAATGCTGTGTTATTCCTTGGGTACTGAAGTTCCTAGCCAGTCAGTCTTCTCATCTTTCATAGTTGTCTCATGTTTGTTTTATGTAAGTCCAGGCTGCACTTAGTGGGAGGAATAGGGATAAGTGTGTCTACTCCTTGTCTCTTCGACTTTGTTTTGAATAGTGAATTTTCTAAAAATGTCCTAGAAAGTCAAACTATGGCTTGGTGCAGTGGCTCATGCCTGTAATCCCAGCACTTGGGGAGGCTAAGGTGGGTGGATCGCTTGAGGCCAGGAGTTCGAGACCAGCCTAGGCAACATGGTGAAACCCTGTCTGAAAAAAACAAAGCCCAAAATATTGCTACTCATTAACAATGCACCTGGTTACCCAAGAACTCGGATGGAGATGTACAAGGAGATGAATATTTTCATGCCTGCTAACATAGTATCTATTCTGCAGCCCATGGATCAAGGTGTACTTTTGATTTTCAAGACTTATTATTTAAGAAATACATTTTATGATTCTCCTGATGGTTCTGGGCAAAGTCAGTTGAAAACCTTTTGGAAAGGATTCACCATTTTAGATGCCATTAAGAGCATTTGATTCATGGGAGGAGGTCAAAATATCAACATTAATAGGAGCTTGGAAGAATAAGAGGGTTTCAAGACTTAAGAGGAGGAAGGAACTGCAGATAGGGTGAAAATAGCAAGAGAATTAGAAGTGGAGGATCCTGGAGATGTGACTGAATTGCTGTAATCCCAGGATCAAACTTGTGTGGATCAACAGTTGCTTCTCATGGACGAACAAAGAGAATGATTTCTTGAGATGGAATCTACTCCTGGTGAAGATGCTGTGAACATTGTTGAAATGACAACAAAAGATTTAGAATATTCCATAAACTTACCATTGGCAGGGTTCGAGAGGATCGACTCCTAATTTTGAAAAGTTCTACTGTGGGTAAATGCTGTCAAACAGCATCATATGCTACAGAGGAATCTTTCATGAAAGAAGAGTTAATCCATGCAGCAAACTCCACTGTTGTCTTAAGAAATTGCCACATTTACACCAGGCTTCAGCAACCACCACCCTGATCAGTCAGCAGCCATCAACATTGAGGCAAGACTGTCCACCAGCAAAAAGATTATGACTCAAAGAATGGTTGTTAGAATTTCTTAGCAGTAAGGTATTTAAAAATTATCTTTTCCTACCCTCCTCTGACATGTAAAAGTATTTTTAAATTAATATGTGTACATTATTTTTTAGGCATAATACTATTGCTCACTTAAAAAAACTATAGTGTAAACCATTTTATATGCACTGAAAAAGCAAAAAATTCATGTGACTTGCTTTCTTGTGGTATTTGGTTTATTGCAGTGGTCTGGAACTGAACCCATAATATTTCTGAGGTATGCCTGTATTCAAAAAGCTGAGTGAAACCCCAATAAATCCGTGATAGGACAGACTTCTGAAAACTAAAGACAAAGAAAAAAGCGTGAAAGTGTCAAGAAAGAAATGACATCTTACCTATAGGGAAAAGTAACACAAATGACAGATTTCTCTTTGTAAACCATGGAGGCAAGAAGGAAGTGGGACCAATTATTTTAGAGTGCTAAAAGAACTGTCAGCTGGTGGCTGAGCACAGTGGTGCACGCCTGTAATCCTAGCACTTTGGGAGGCCAAGGTGAGTGGATCACTTCAATTCAGGAGTTTGAGACCAGCCTGGTTAACATGGCAAAATTCTGTCTCTACTAAAAATAAAAAAAATTAGCTAGGCATGGTGGCCTGTGCCTGTAATCTCAGCTACTTGGGAGGCTAAGGCATGAGAATTGCTTGAAAGCAGGAGGTGGAGGTTGCAGTGAGCCAAGATCCTGCCACCGCACTCCAGCCTGGGCAACAGAGTGAGACTGCCTCAAAACAAAACTGTCAACTCCAAATTCTGTATCTGGTGAAATGTTCCTTCAGGAATGAAGGGGTAAGACGTTCTTGGATGATGAAAAACTAACATAATATGTTGAATGGGTCTACCCTGTAGACCTTGAATAAACCTACCCTAATGGAAGGTCTTGAACCAGAAACGTTTAAAAAAAAAAAGTCTTGGAATGTCAGGAAGAATGACAGAAACAGCAAAAAATGGGTAAATACAATAGACTTTTTCCTTCTTGTGTTTTCTAAATTACTTGGTAGTGAAAGCAAAATTGTCTGATGTGGATCTCAATGTACATAGCAGATATATTTAAGACAATTATCAATAGAGTGGGGAGGGGATGGACAAGAGAGTTAAGTTTTCTACATTTCACTCAAATTGGTAAAATGCTGACATCAACAGATCTTTATATGGCAGTGAAGCAGTTCTGTATCTCAACTGTCTTGGTAGGGTTACAGGAAGATAAGATGGCATAAAATGATATATGCTGTGCAAAAATCAATTTCCTGTAGTTATGTAAGATGAATCTGTACTGTCTTTTCAATTCCCTGTAAGTCTATAACTAGTGCAGAATCAAAAGCTTTAAAAAGTGTAGGATGACAGTGTTGAATATGCTGCTTTAAAAGGGACACACAGTTATAGTGGCTTAGATTAAAAAGGGAGGACAAGGATGAGATGATAATCCTCTCCCCTGACCAATTCCAGTTGAGGATTAAACATCTCTCTTCCCAAATATTTTCATTTATCTTCTAGGTATACTTCTCTTACAATTTATTAGAAAGCTAGTTACTTAATAACAGAGATAACTAAAGAGATACTAATTTTCATGGAAACTCATCACAGTGTATTGAAACTGATACTTTTGTGCTACTAACATTTAGTAAAAATAGTTTTAGTAAATAAAATCTCCACTTATTTCAGTGAAAATGGCAAGGAGAAAATGTAATCAAGTCATAAGATTATCCTGCTATGTGAAATACGCTGCTCCCCAAAGGACTGTGGCAAGATTGATTTTAAATAGAAAATATCTCCGATTTTAAATATATTTAGATTATAATTGCCTGGGAATTGGCAAACTTTCTCATTTCCATAAAGGGCCAGATACTAAATACCTTAGGCTGTACAGGCTTTCAGATATCTCTGTCACAACTATTCACCCGTGCAGTGTAGCGTGAAGGCATCCACAAACAAAACAAACACATAGGTGTGGCTGTTCCAATAAAACCTCACCAAACAGGCAGCACAGGCCACACACAGTATGCTGCCCCCTGCACTAGCTCATCTCAGGTTACCTGTCCTCTAGTTAGTAAAAAAGAAATCCAAAATTAAATTACACAAAAGTCATTCTTAAAAATTACTGTGTTTTGGACATTAAAATGGGGCCAAAGGTAGAATCCACTGAGATCAAAGTTCTTGACAAGCAGTCAGGAAACCTGAATGATTCTGTCCTTTGTGCTGCCAGTAACTAGCTGTGAGCTCTTGGGCAAATCACATATTCTCTCAGCTTCCATTACAGCATCTCTAATTTGAAAAAGTAGAGGAGGGATTCCTTCCAATTTTGCTATTATAAATTTCAGTTCAGCAAGCTTACTCCCACTGTTACCAATAAAAGTTTCAAAAGACTCATTTAAATAATTTACAACATAGTTCTGGTTAGACATGATGAGCTAAAAATGAGAGTTGGAGTATTAAAAGCAAAAAAAAAAAAAAAAAAAAAAAAAGTATCCAAAAAACATGAAATACCCAGGGATAAAGTTAATGGATATACAGGATCTCTGCATTGAAATCTGTAAAACACTGCTGAGAAAAAATGAAGTAAATGGAAAAACATGTTTAATGGATTGGGTGACTTAATGTTGTTAAAGTATTAAGTCGATTTATAGATTCAGTGAATCCTAGTCAAAATGCACAAATCTTTTTCTGGGAGTAGTGTTAGAGATTGACAGACTTTATTTGGAAATGCAAAAGACCTAGAATAAACAAAGCTATTTGCAGAAAAAGAAATTAGAATGTCTGTTTTACCTGAGCTCAAGACTTACCAAGTTTTCACAAAAAGATAAACAGAATGGAACAGAAAACTAGATCCACAGATATATGGTCAAATTTTTTCACGCAAGGGCACCAAAACAATTTAATGGTGGAAGGAGAATCTTTGACAAGTGGTGCTGGAACCACTAAACATTCAGTAGAATGTTCAAAGGTACTTAATGCCTACCTACTTCATGGCATATAAAAATACTAATTCAAGGTGAATAACAAACTTGAATATTTGCTACAACTATTATACTCCTAAGAAAAATAAAACAGTATTTTCATTAGCTTGGGGTACGTAACGACTTCTTAAAGAGCACACAGAAAGCATTAACTGTAAAACAAAAACTGATAAAAGTGGATTTCACTAAAACTAAACCCTTCTCAACAGGTATATGGAAAAAACAAGCCATAGAGTGGGAAAAGATATTTGTGATACATCAATCTGACAATCCTTTATGTCCAGAATGCACAAAGGAATCTTACCCAATTAAAAGGAAAAAAACACATGAAAAGTACTCTCTATTAGTCATCAGGCAAATGCAAATTAAACCACCATGAGATACCACCACATACCCTGGAGCATGGTTAAAATGAAAAAGAGGGACAATACCAAATGTCAGCAGGGATGTAAAAAACAACCAGAGTACAATGTGCTGGCAGGAATGGAAAATAGCAGTGGTTTTAGAAAACCGTTGGGCAGTTTCTTAAAAAGTTAAATATACAGCTACCATAAGACCTAGCAGTTCTACCCCTAGCTTTTTAACCCAAGAGAAATGAAAACATGTCCACAAATATCCCTGCACAAGAATTTTTGTATTTAGAATAGCTCCAAAGTGAAACAGCTCAGGGGTACATGAACAGAAGGATAGCTACGTAAACTATCATGCATTCAAATAGCACAAAACAATAAAAAGGAACAAACCAGGCTGAGCATGCTGGCTCACACCTCACAGCACTTTGGGAGGTCAAAGTGGGTGTATCACTTGAGGTCAGGAGTTCAAGACCAGCCTGACTAACATGGCAAAACCCTGTCTCTAATTAGCCGGGTGTGATGGTGCATACCTTTAATACCAGCTACTTGGGAGGCTGAGGCAGGAGAATTGTTTGAACCCAGGAGGTGGAGGTTGCAGTGAGCCGAGATTGTGTCATTGCACTCCAGCCTGGGCAACAAGAGTGAAACTCCCATCTCAAAAAAAACCAAAAAAGGAACGAACTGCTGATACAAGCACCGACACAGATGAATCTTAAAGACATCATGCTGAGTTACATGAGGCAAATGGTGCATGCTGTATGATTCCAGCTGTATGAGTTTGGGGATAAGGAAAACGAATCTGCAACAGAACAGGAGTGTGGTTAAAGGAGTGGACGTTTGTCAAGCTTGATTAGACTGTATGCATTTAGATCTCTACATTTCATATGTAAATTATATCCCTCTTCTCTCCAAGACACAACAATAGTGATTAAAACTCTTGAGGTTAAGATTAAGGTGTTCAATCTAGCTTTTTAAATTCTGTAACAAATCAAATGTACAAGGTGGCCAATCTTGGACAATAAATACAATACATGGCTATTTTTCATTTTTATCAATTCAAATTGAGGTATGAGTTTAAAATGTATTTTTGATTAGTTTGCTGATGCTAGTCATCTTTCCCCATCTATGTTGGTTCCATGGATTGGTACTTATTTCTTCTAAACATGCGTAGGCCTCTATGGACTGAGCCACGTACCATCCCCATTACTGAGAACTATAATTCACAGTCTGACATTCTCTAAGTGATCTTTATAACCCTTTAATACATTTCTCTTCTAAACTGAGGTTAGCTGGAAAAGTTTGAGATTCAACAATGAGCATCTGCCCTTCATCTACACCACTACTAGAGAAAGGTATTAATTACCTCTTAGTTTTCATGTGAAAACAATAAAACATAAGATCAAATGTGATTTCCCAACTAAAACTACTTGTAAATTTTGCATATTTCATAAACACCTCATCACACCAAAATATTGAATTATAGTTAAAACTGGATTTCTAAACCATGAATAAAACCCAAAAGTACTATTTAGTCCTTCATAAATTTGATAGAAAAAAATGAATGTTAACAGCTTTAGATAAGTGTAGTGCTAGCTGGCAGTCATTAATAGATTGTTTGGCCTAATATTATGAAGGCTTTTCATGCTCTGTTTAACACATAAACCAAAAAATGCCAATTTACCTTTACAAGTATATTCTGAAGGGCTTTTTTAAAAAGCATCCTATGACTCTACTTAGGGCACAACAGCAGCTAAGGATATGCAGCAAACTTAAGTGGCCGCTAAAAACATTTTTCACAAATACAGCAATTAAATATTTTGAATATAAAATGGTTTTGAAAAAGCCCAAATGATTCTGATTTTAAAACCTGATGACAGATTCATCTCATCAAGTACAAACATGTCGTTCAACGGTGGGTATTTTTTCCTGGTCACCTCCTCCCTATTTTCTCGGAGAGATACTTATACAAATTATACTGTGTTTTACTTCTTCCAAGACTTACCTGAGGCTCAACACTGTGTCCATGGGTATTCATTAAAAACTCTTATCACTGTGGTACCATTTCTTCTGCTTTTTAGAGCTTGTTTAGAATGCTAGATTCCAAGAAACTGTATAAATAAAGCCAATTTAGTGAGAAAACAGTGAAACCTGGCTGTCTGAACTGCCTGAATTTCACCTAATGGTGGAATGAGCACTCCCAGGTGCTTTGACCGGTTTACACAGCAGGCCTGGGTGAGATTACTGACTTTGTAAATGTCTGACATTTACACATATTTGTGCATTTACTGCACATACTTTAAAATAGGGGTTAAGTGCTGTCATTTTCATGATTTTGACAGCTGAGAAACTATGCTAGGGAGAGAGCTTTGTATGACACCCTAATCAGACCATGAAGGGACAGGTCTGAGTTGTTCATAGTGCAGAGCAAGGCATGGCTACAGGTGACAGGCAAATATTTAATGCACTGAGCCTAATAAAAGATAAATAAGGACTCTCAGACTTGTGTGTGTGAAAGGATAGTTACGTTACGGTGTTTGGCATACACTTTTACATTTTTTAATAGGACTTTACTGGTCACTGTGGGGCCTAGATACAACTGAACTGTTCAATCCTAATCAAATGAAACTATTAGTACATTCTTATAAATCTTTTTGGGACAAAGTGCTTCCCTTACAAAATCCAGTGTAAATATTTTTTGGGCAAAGTAAATGTTTATAAATATTGGCATTTTATAACTTTCCTAGCATAGCTTGAGGACTGATAAGAAACTCAACAGAAACGGAGGCCCAATGGTTGGCATGAAGACTCTCTCTCTGCCCTAGGAGATTTTACTCACTTTGGGACAAAAAACAATATAGTAGCATCTTTTCACTGACCAAGGTAACCAGAGTGTTGATCAGATCACACTGATACCTACAGTGGCCAAAATTAAATGAGAAGCACGGTGCGTGTGTGCAAGGAAGTGGCAGGGGTACAGCATGTTAGAGCAGATGCATGTGAGTGTGCTGTGATGAAGGAAGCAGCCGAACAGCTGACAATTAAACCCAGAATAATTTCAGAGGTAAAAAATTACCACCTCTCTTACTAGTGTCATTGAAAAAAAAAATTAGGGTTTTCCACTGATAGGTTACACACATTGAGGCAAAAACACACAGAAGCCAAATCAAGTCAACATAAAGCAGTAAGAAAATATAAAAATAGCCGGGCGCGGTGGCTCAAGCCTGTAATCCCAGCACTTTGGGAGGCCGAGGCGGGTGGATCACGAGGTCAAGAGATCGAGACCATCCTGGTCAACATGGTGAAACCCCGTCTCTACTAAAAATACAAAACATTAGCTGGGCATGGTGGCATGTGCCTGTAATCCCAGCTACTCAGGAGGTTGAGGCAGGAGAATTGCCTGAACCCAGGAGGCGGAGGTTGCAATGAGCCGAGATCGCGCCATTGCACTCCAGCCTGGGTAACTAGCGAAACTCCGTCTCAAAAAAAAAAAAGAAAATATAAAAATAAGACATTATCAAACTTTAGTAAATGTTATTCTAGGTCTCGAAAATATAGATGTCTATAGATAAAGATTTGTTTTTGGGAAAACAAATCTAAAGTAAAAATATCAATTTTAGAAAAGATACTAACATATGCAGATATAGATAACACATAAATAATGCAAGAGATTTACAGAAATGTAGTTTTGGCACTTTTACTTGGATTTTTTGAAGAAAGTGAATACAAATATCATTGTACACAAATTCTCATTCTGAAGAAACAGGATGTAGAATTAAAAGGTGCAAACATCTCCCTTCTTAAAAATAACATTGAACGGATAACTGTACCTGTTAAATCTCCTGGTTGGCAACTTTTAAAATCTGGCTTCCACCTAACTCCACAAATTTGACAGTTATTTTTGTTTGTGTAAGTGATACTGGTTATCCACTTCCAGTATACCATTCGGCCTGAGGTCCATAAATAATATTTTCAGTGTAGAAATCTTGAAATACTACTGCTCAGTAGATAAATTCTCCTGGAATTTCTTGTAGTAAAGGTTCCTCAAATTTAAATCGTTTGGAAATGGCCTTTTGCTCCATGTTCTCTTTTTCAGACTGTCTGCATTGTCCTAGAGTATATGAAGTAACTACAATTAACTCTTCGGTTACAATGGATTCCTTGGTTTCTGCTTTGTCAGTATCTGAATTAATTTCAGGCACAGAATGACCTTGGAGGGCATTTGCTTCTTCTTCTGCCTTTTCCATCCTGAAAGAAACCTCCTGAATATTACCCTGTGTCAACCAGGGGTGCTTTAGACATTCTTCAGCAGTGGCTCGATCTCTGTAAAGATACACGTGTTAAGACATGTTAGAACTTCAATTAAAATTAGAGCATAAGGTACTGTATTTTGGGAAGTATGAAAAGCTGGCAAAAGTCTTACTGTGATTCCTGAATAAAACTATTAGTTTTGGAGTTTGGGTATAATTTTCCAAAATGTTGAAATATTTTAAGTTATCCCTGAAATGCTCTCTAGAGACACCAAGAGCAGATGAGAAGTATCTGCTAGAGTTTAGCTGTCAAAATTTCACTGTCAATTTCTACTCACCATGAATTATAAGTGCCATTTACTGCCATGACACATTTGTAATAATACAATTTTGCTAATTAATATTTAAATCCTGTTACATGGAGGTATAGTTCACTCTTTTTTTTTTTTTTTTTTTTTTTTAAGATGGAGTCTTGCTCTGTTGCCAGTATGGAGTACAGCGGCGCAATCTCAGTTCACTGCAACCTCCGCCTCCTGGGTTCAAGCGATTCTTCCGCCTTAGCCTCCCAATTAGCTGGGACCACAGACACGTGCCACCATGCCCAGCTAATTTTTGTATTTTTAGTAGAGACAGGGTTTCACCATGTTGGCCAGGATGGTCTCGATCTCTTGACCTCATGATCCGCCCACCTTGGCCTCCCAAAGTGCTGGGATTATAGGCCACTGCACCCAGCCATGGTTCACATTTTCTAAAAATATTTTCGTTTTTGCCCCCTTTTCTTTCAACAGATATATTAAGCCAAGGGTTTCATCTAGTTTTATGTCAACATTTTTGTGTTTCCATTTTGGTGTTTTAGATGTTGAACTATTTTTGGTTGGAGGAGATTCAATAAAAAACTGACAAGATCAGTATTAAATAAAACTAATACTTACTCAGGTTTCTTAACTAAAAGTGTCCTGATGAAGTCAACAGCAGACTCAGACAAAATATCAAATTCTTCCTCAGAATAACTTAAATTCATCTGTGAGATGTTTAAGAATGTTTCTTGTTTATTATTGCCTAAGAAAGGTGATATTCCTGTAAGCATGACATATGTTAACACTCCAATGCTCCTAAATTAGAAAGAAAATGTAAGAAAAATTAGTACCATACTCATTTCTTGAAACTAATTTGATCAATTTTTCATTAATAACACTTACCACATATCTGTTGCCATGCTTATAGGATCATAACTAAGAATTTCAGGAGCTAGTATCAGAAAAAGAAGATAACATTTAGCTTTGTGCAAAAAATTCCTAATTTGCTCTTAGAGATGAAGCATTATAAACTATAAAGCACATTTGGGCTAAAATGAAAGGTTACCATAAATTAATATGAATTAACACAGAACCTAACTAGATGTTTGTAATTAACTTGTTTACTTTTCACACTTCTGCCCTTGTTGAGTCCTAGTATTTTACAAATATTTAAATATTTTAAAAACACCAAATATAAACTGACAATTTCTGACACCTTCCTCTTTCACACCCTCTGTAATCATTGTCTCTATCAGATTATGGCTTTTAAAGCTTTCTCATTGCCACTGACATTTCTGCCTCCCCATTGGCCCACTCTTGTCCCTGGCACTTTCTCCTCTTACCTGGGCCTTTTCAACTACTTGTCCCACCCCTCTGATCTTTTCTTTATGTTGCAGTCAGAGTGAGCTTTTTAAAACATCTACCCATTAACAAAAAGTCAGTCAACAAAGTTAAAACAAAAATTGGGCATTCTGAGACTACAGGCATGGGGACAAAGTTAACTAAGTTGCATCTATAGAACTGAGAAAGACAATATGCTTTGAGGCTGGGTGCCCAGCACTTTGCAAGGCCAAGGCGGGAGGATCGCTTGAACCAGGAGTTCAAGACCAGCGTGGGCAACATAGTGAGACCTTGTCTCTATAAAAAGTAAACAAAACTCAGCTGAGTGGCATGGTGCATGCCTGTAGACCCAGCTACTGGGGAGGCTGAGGTGGGTGGACTGCTTGAGCCTGGGAGGTTGAGGCTGCAGTGAGCCAAGATAGTGCCACTGCACTCTAGCCTGGGTGACAGAGACCGTGTCTCAGAAAAAAAAGCTTTGATATAAAGTAAATTGCTGCCACACAAACACAATAGAAAGGCACTGTCAAATATGCAAGGATTCAGGAAAAATATAAAAATCTACTCATAATCCAGTTAACTAAAGATGATTCTTTTTCAAAACTATGCAAATAAGGAAGCTAAACTATTAAAAGGCAGTCAATAAGTACTGAATCCATGGGAAAACAGATGAAAGACTAAAACACTGTGGTAATTACAATGTAAAAAAAGGAATGAAAATGTTCTAGTTCTACAAAGAGACTAAATACTCAAAGTCATGTATCTACTGCTTTGTTTGTGACAAACCCCCATAGAATAAATGAGTGGGAGTAAGAGGTTTGGAAGGAAATGCTAGGTACGCTAATCTCCTAAATTTTTATTTCTAAAATGGTTGAGAAACAGAGGTTGTGAATGTTACTTATAAGTTTTAAAAGAAATGACTAGGAAATTAAAAATGAAATGCATAGCATCCAAATTACTGGGAAAGAAACAATAAAACAGAGACCACATAGCAAGACTGTGGGAGGAGAGGTACAGGAAATACCAATAGCTTCCTTTATTGAGTGGTTATCATGTGCTGAATACTGGTTTAAGGGCTATGTATAGCAAATCCAATGAAATTGTTACGAATTCCCTATGAGGTTGGTACTATTACTAGCCCCATGTTATGGACAGAGGAATCTGAGGTATAAAGAGATTTAAGGGCCAAGGTCACACAGAAGGCAAATACAGGGGTAGAACTCACACCAGTTTCTGTATATATAAAATGACTATGGGAGGCTTAAACTCACCTTTTAAAAGGTGAGTCAGGGAAAGAAAAAGAGGTGAGTCCCTTTGTTTTTCTGTATTATATACTTCTGAATTATTTTTAGTTTTTTTCTTTTTGCATTGTGTTTGTGCTTCCAATGTAATATTTTGAGACAGGGAAAGGTACTTGGTAGAAAATTTAAAATTTACTAAGGAACAGAAAGCTCTAAAACAAAACACTAGCCTGGTCAACACAGTGAGATCCGTCTTTACCAAAAAAACGAACAGAAAATGGGCCCACTGTGCTGGTGGGTGCCTGTGGTCCCAGCTACTCGGGAGGCTGAGGCAGGAGGATCTCAAGTTGGGAACTGTAGCAAGCTATGATGGAGACACTGCACTCCAGCCTGGGTGACAGAATGAGACTGTCTCAAACAACAAAGAAAGCATTTAAAACAAAATCCCACCTCATTCAGGGCAGTGATTACTATTTTGATTTTTCAGCTCACAGACCTTTATTCTGCAGTCCTGTGTATTTGAACTTACAGTGGTACCCATTAAATTTGGCTAAAGTACTTGGGTTGCTGCTTTCCCTAAAGAAACATTATTAAGTTACAAAAACTTAATGGTTATGATGCATGTTAGCATAATGAAAAGTATTCCGGCCCATTAAAATATATAAAACAATTTAAAGGTTGTTTCTATGCCTATGTCATCTTTTCTTACCTAATTAAGGATCTTTAAAAAAAAATCTCTGAATTATTTTTTAGACTATCATTGCCATACAGCTTTGTTTTCTTCAACCCTATTGGCCCTCCTGAATCTCTGTGTTTTGGAAAGCTCTTCTCTTGTAACATCCTCAGTCTTTCAAGGACTACTCACTCTTTTTACCCTCTTCTCTGAAAGGAGACCCGCTCTCCTCATTCCCCCTCTTCTAGCCTATTTGCCCACTTCACACTTCTACCCTCAGGCAGAGTCCCTCAGGCCCAGGCCACAGCCTTCTCCATTCCGGCCACAGCCGCCTTCCTCTTCTCCCAGGTCTGCTGTCAGCTTAGGTGACTTCCACAATGATGTCCATGACCCAGACAGCTATAGCTACCTTCACAGCTTCTTGATTTCCTGGTCTAAAGAACTGTCTTTCCAGCACTACATCCAAGGCCTCATAATTACAAAGCGCTATTTAGCCACTAAAATTTTGAATATTAATTTTATTTTAAAGACAGAATCTTGGTCGGTCACCCAGGCTGGAATGCAGTGGCATGATCTCGCCTCACCACAACCTCTGCCTCCCGGGTTCAAGCGATTCTCCTGCCTCTCAAGTAGCTGGGAATATAAATGCGCACCACCATGCCAGGCTAATTTTTGTATTTTTAGTAGAGATGGGGTTTTGCCATGTTGGCCAGGCTGGTTTCAAACTCCTGGCCTCAAATGATCTGCCTGCCTTGGCCTCCCAAAGTGCTGGGATTACAGGCATGAGCCACTGCGCCTCGCTTAAATATTAATATTCTAATCTCTGGTCACAACCTCTAAATTTCACAGCCTTATTCTACTACAGATACTTTTTAAAAACCTGTCATTCAAACTGTTAATCTTACAAACTCCTATTCTTCTTCCCGTCTGTCAAATAAAGTCACAGTTGACTTTTTTACCCAACCTAGACCCATGGCGTATCATCATTCAGCTGCTCTCTTGCTGCTATTTCCATGTTTAAGCTCCTTTTTCTTTCTGCCAGAAGCACTCAAGCATGGATCCAACCAAATGCCCTCTCTGCCCCACACTTATGTGGAACCCTAGACTTGGCAATTCCTTTATCAATGCTTGTTATCAACCACAGCATCTTTAAAGGTCTTACTTGTTAAATATCCTTCCACCCTCAGATCAGCTAATGTCCTACTTTGTTAAGAAAATCCTCTCCGATTTCTTTTAGAAGTAATCCCTTCAAATTCTCTTAGCCCTGTAGTGAAGAAAGAGTGAAAAGATCACCAGTTTGGTACCTTACTCTTGAAAGTTTTCCATGGTAAAATTTAACCCAAAGGAATAAATCTCAGATGGTAGAATTTCAATATAGCAGATAGCTGGCCCCACTATGAGTCATACCACATGGACAAGTCTAATGAAGGTGATGCCTGACCCCAGGGCAAAACTACTTTTATGAATACTTACCCACATACTCAGGGGTACCCATAATTTCTCGGAGCTCTTCACTGTTCTTCAATATTCTTGAAAGGCCAAAGTCAACGATCTTAATGTCACCCAATGGAGATTCATTTGTCAACAGAATATTCTGAGGCTAAAAAACAACACACCCTCACAGAAATCAACACAACTCTAAGTACACAAAACATGTAGTCCATAAAACATACATTTCACCTGTGAAACTGAGACTGAGGAATTTAACAGCAAACAGTCATTTGTTAAAGAAATATTTTTACAATATACTTCCTATGTAGAAGGCTACAGGCCTAGTACTCTCTTATATTTTTAATATTTTCCCCTGCCCTGGCTTTTCCTCAGCATACCTAACATGTTTCTGTCCCTACCTTATGCAATCCATTCCCCGTGACCCTGAGTCTCCTTCCAGGCAGCACACTCACTTCCTACTATTCCCTCAAAACTCAGCTTGTTGAAAGCATGGTCAAGTACAATTGGTATCATTTCTCATTCCAACTAAATCTCCTTTACCTCCTTGACTGAATCTGTCTTCATTAAGGTCACAATAACTTTAATAATTTAAAATTATTTAAAAATAACTTTAAAAACTGAAGACCCACCAAATCCTGTGTCTTTCAGGGACTATTTTGTATGCAATGATTTCTGTAGCACTGGGCACTGCCAAGCAGAAATTCCTCCCCGTTTTCTCCACCTTGGATCTCTTCTCTTGTTTCTACAGATCCCTTACTACTTCCTCTATGTTTTCCTTCTGTTGTCCTTTTAGATATTTGTGGTGTTCAGGATCTCTTGCTGCATGGCCCTCTTCCCCCACCACTCTGCATTCTATTTTTGAGCAATTTCATGTACTTCCAAAGCTTCAGCTGCCACTTAGATACTGATAACTTCTACCCTAAGTCCTCTCCAGAGTTGTGAGTGGGGACATGTGGGGTGAGGATGCATATAGTCATGGGAAAGAGCTCCCCAGAGCCACAGAATCAGTGAGGTTCATATCCCTAGAGTCATTTTTACCCAATGGAAAATAACCTAAGATACTTTCACTATAAAAAGACAAGCAAATATGGACTAGAATGTAAAGTTCATTAAATTTTTAAAACACGAAATGTGAAAAAAATGTTTGTGTTTGCATTATAAAGGGTCCTCACTTAGTTTCCTGCCATTAAGAATATTCCCAAAGGTAAGCTGAGAAACATTGGTAAACTACAAATACTTCACTACAACACCCAGTGTTTTATGATTGGGCCCCTGATTCCTTTTCAAGATTAATTTCCTGTCATGGCTTCAAAGGCAATCTGGGCTCCAAATCAAACAGTCTGTAATCGGTAAATAAGACAGCTACTCCCACGTCTCATGCCTTTGCATGTGTACTGTCTTTGCTCAGGACACCCTCTCTCTTCCTCTCCCTGACAAATTTATTCTCATCCCTCACTCCATACATGATGGGTCCCAATAAAGCACCAATTCTTTTGCAAAGCCTGCCCTGGCCTCCCCTGCTCCTTCCAGGGTAGGCTTGATGGCTGCCCCATCCCTACTTCACAGCATGGTATACATAGCATGCTTAATCCACTGTTAGCTGTTTACGTTTCTGTCTCCATCACATTGGTCCCCTAGGTATATAGAATGAATGTTCACATTTCCTTTCCTTCCATTCACATTCTGCACCTCCATCTGATGTTTGTCCTCTCCTTTTACGACAAATCACAAAATCCAGTGATATTTTTCAATGCTTTCTTCTGGACCACTCTCGTAGCAGTGTTTGACACACTTAGCTACTTCTTCCTTGTTTACATACTATTTTTCTCTTGGCTCCCATGACAAAACACTGTCCTGGCTTTCTTCCTATCTATCTCTGGCTGTGTCTTCCATCTCCTCTAATAGGCAGCCTTCTTTTACCTGGTCCACTGGATGCTGGGTTTCTCAAGGCTTGATCTTGAGACCTTTCCTCTTTTTACTGCACACTCTCACCTTGCATGATCTGTACCCAAGGCTTAAATATCACCTACAGCTTATGATTCACAATTTTTTTCTCTTTTGGATCTCTTCAACCAGCTGCTTATCTATTATCTCCCCTTTGATGTCTCAAAGGTACCTCAAATTCAACATGACCAAAGCCAGACTCCTATTTTCCTTCCTAAATCAGATTCTCACTATGCCAGTGACAGGTGTCTCAGTGAATGCTATGATCATACCTCTGAACAGGAGAGAACAATCCTCTTGGCCATTCCCTTCCTCCCTTCTCTTCCGTTTAGCTAACATGTCACCATAGTTGATTTTAAATACTAAATTCTAAGCATTTCTAGACTTTGCCTTTTTCTCTCATCTACAGAAAATTAAAGCTACCTTTCTTGCTCTATTGCAATGGCCTCTTCAGTGGTTTGCTGGGATCTATTTTGCCTATATTGCAGCTGGAAGGCTCTTTTGTATTATATAAATTGGATCTGTTGTCCCCTTTCCTAAACCCTTCCACAGCTTCCCACTGCTCTTAGATAACCTCCAAACTCCTTCGCGTGGCGTGCATGTCCTGAGGTCCAGCTTCTGCCTAGCTAGCTCTCCAGACTCATCACATGCCACGATCCCCTTGGCTCCATGAAACTGGGTCCTGTAGGACATTTTCCAGTTTCTCATACTTGCCATGCTCTCTCTCACAAGAATGAATCTGTATATGTATTCTCTCAGTCCAGAACACTTTTTTCTGTTCTTCTTTGCCTAGTCTCAACTCAGTAAGAAAACCTAAGATGGTAGTGAGGCAGATTACAATTCCCATCGATGAGAAGGGCTGCAATATGAAAAACGAAACTGAGTCATAGATGGTCCCTCTTTTTAAAAAGGGTCTTACCATCTACCCAACCGTCCATCCTACCCTTTTCTATTATAAAAATGCCTGTAGGTTTACCGGTCTGAATTCAGAGAATGGGAAGAATCTACACCTTCATGAGGACAGAGCCACAGTACTGATTACTCTTTTATCACTGTGATCAGTGCCTGCCACACATTAATATTTGTTGGGTGAATAAATATTTTATATAACTATAAAAAAATTAAGAGGGTGTCTATTTTGTGTCAGGACTAGTGTAGTATAAATATTAGCAATAAGAATGCCCTATTGTCAGAGTTTATAATCAAGAGAAAACAGATGGACCTGCCAGGCTCAACTCAATCTTCTATACATTGCACCATGACAGCAATATATACAAAGTGCTCAGGCAATAAATATATCAGAGTGATTAATTCTGCCTCGGAAAATTACAGAGGAGATATGCGAGCAGACCCTGAAGGGTAAAATGATTTCCTAATTTACTCAACAAATATTTACTGACTGCCTAATGAGCTAGGCCCTGGGGAAATAAGAGAAAAACAAGACATGAGTCCTGTCTTTTGGAGCCTTACATTTTAATGGAGACAAATAAGTACACCTCAAGTCGCTTTAAGCACTAGGGGGAACTTAAAGCAGAGTGACGGGCGAGAGTGGTTGCTTGGCGTGTGTGTATGGACATGATATGTTTAGGGGAGTCAGAGAAGGCCTCTCTAAGAAGGCACCCTGAAGGAGGAAAGGACGATGGTAAAAAAGAGCCAGTCATGGCTCAGTGTCCTAGAGGGTTTGGGGTAAGCAGGAGGCATTCCATGCAGAGGGAGGAGCAAGTAGAGGCCCTACTGCCATGGAGCATTTGCAGGAAATCCTGTGTGGCTGGAGGACAGCACAAGCCAAAAGGGGTAGGAATGGTGGGAGACATGAAGTTGGAAAGGAAATGGCTGGGATATCACAGGGCTCCGTAGGCTATCGTGGAGTAAATGGCAGAACGCAGGCCACATTTTCTTTGTTAATGAGCTTCTAGTTGATTCTTCAGGAACAAAACACCTATGTAGCATCATGACTATGAGTCCTCAGACTTTTCAATGCAATTTTAGTTTTAGTAAGTTAATAAAAGACTATAGTACAACAAAGGGGCTGGGTGCAGTGGCTCATGTCTGTAGTCCCAGCAATTTGGGAGGCCGAGGTGAGTGGATTGTTTGAGCTCAGGAGTTCGAGACCAGCCTGGACAACGCGATGAAAACCTGTCTCTACCAAAACCACAAAAAATTAGCCACACATGGTGGTACACACCTATAGTCCCAGCTCCTTGGGAGGCCAAACGAGGAGGATCACCTGAGCCTGGGAGGCAGAGGTTGTAGTGAGCTGAGAGAGTGCTACTGCACTCCAATCTGGGTAACAGAGTGAGACCCCGTCTCAAGAAAAAACCAAACCAAACCAAACCAAAAACAAACAAAAAAAAACTGTAGTACAACAAAATGTCAGTTATTCAGGCAAACTCAATAGGAGAGGTTTGGTTCAGTGACACATATTTGTAATTGAATGTTTTGCCCTTTCTAGTACACACAAAATGCCAAGTGAAATACTGCTGGGGAAATCTTCATCAAATCTTGAGATTTTCTTGTGATTAGTAAACATGTACATTCTATGAATGTTCTTAAGTACCATTTGTTCCTTTAAAATAGTTTAAATGTTTTTCCCTTTTATGTGTTTACACTTTACATTCCCTGAGAAATGCTTTCTTTACAGCTAGTGCTCGACTTACGACCACAATTGGTTCCGACAGACCGGTCGTAACACGATTTGGTCGTAAGTTGAGTAGGCTATATGCAGGCGGAGATGGTACTGCTGCCAGAAGCTGGTCTGCGCTGTCGTACGCCCAGCTGGGCAATGTTTGCGCTGCCAGACGCAGAGCAGTCGTGGCTAGCGATTGTGGTTGTAAAGTCGAATGGTCGTAAGTTGCATAGGTCGTAAGTTGATCAATACCTGTAGTTACTATGCAAAAACTAATTGGTTTGGTGGTAATGCTGTAAATCCTAAATTAGTGTGATCAAATTATAATAATTTTATCGTATGAGAAATCTAGGCCCAGTTACAAGCATCTATGATACACTAATGTGAGAGACTTTCTGAAAATGAAGTTAAACAATTGAGAGAGAGGTTGCTAGAAACAACACATTTCTTTCTCATAAAATCAGTTATTTCATGGGATTTCACAGTTAATATTTATTATGTGGCTTTTTCCAACTATGCCCTATTTTGACCACAGGGCTATTTTTAAAAATAGATCTTGCTTCTTTAAATAAAATATAAGTACAATTACAGGACTATAATCTGTCAGTTCTTGGATGGTGAAATAGATCTACTTCCAATAAGCTGAAATATTATATTTTGAAAACTAAGCTAAGTACCTCAGCATTTACCTCAGCAATTACAAAACTTCCTTTCCAGGGACTCCAGTTCATGATAAAAAAGTTGTGGCACACAAAACCTAGTTTTATTTAAAATGCATGAATACCAGGCAGTAAGGGAGAGAAAGAAGCAAGGTCAATCAATAGAGAGGTGATGATAGTGGAATAAGCAGAGAACCTGCAGATGGTCCTTAAATAGATGGAGGCTGTAGGGAAGTCTTTTATTTATCTTGGTATCTTCATCTTTGTACATAATCCATTTAACATTTACTGAATAATCACCACTGGAGAAGATTTAGTGGCTAAGATCATTGTAAAATTGAGGTTAACCTGCTCAATAAGGCTTAAGGTATGGACAGGGTTTTAAGAGACATTTTATCAGACAATTAAAGTTCCAGTATATTAACTATTAAAACCCAGGTTAGAGTAGAGGAATAGATTAATATTCCTGTCTAAATTAATTTGGGGGACAGTTTGGAAATGCTTTTGTTAATCCTGCTTTCAAGTAATATACTGATGCTTAAATTTAATACTCATATGGAAAGTCCCAGCTTCTGGCCACTTTTTTTGAAATTAATGTTTTAATAAAAAATTTTTCAGACAGGGTCTCACTCTGTTCCCCAGGCTGAAATGCAGGGGTGCAATCATAGCTCACTGCACCCTCGAACTCCTGAGCTCAAGCAATCCTCCTGCCTCAGCTTCCTCTGTAGCCGGGACTACAGGAGTATGCCACCATGCCCAGCTAATTTATGTATTTTTAGTAGAAACCATTTTGGCCAGGATGGTCTCGATCTCTTGACCTTGTGATCTGCCCACTTCGGCCTCCCAAAGTGTTGGGATTACAGGCGTGAGCGACTGTACTGGCCGATTTTTAAATTTTTTGCAGAGATGAGGTCTCACTATGTTGCCTAGCCTAAAAAACTTCTGGGCTCAAGTGGTGCTTCTATCTCACCCTCCCGAAGTGCTGGGGTTGCAGTTGTGAGCCACCACACCTGGCCTTTTTCTAGTTTACTTTTAACCATGAGCATAACTGGGTGGAAAAGTTAGTGATAGAATCTTAGTATAGTTGTTCCTTGGTTATCTGGAGGGGATTGGTTCAGGGACTCCTTGCAGATACAAAATCTGCAATGGTCTAGTCCCTGATATGAAATGGTGTAGTATTTGCATATAACCTGCACACACCCTCTTGTATACTTTAAATCATCTCTAAGTTACTCAGAATAGCTATTATAATGCCACACATCACCTCATTTTTGTGGATTTAATGGAGTACTTGATAGGGGTCCAATTCAAGTTTAGCATTTTGGAACTTTGTGGAATTTTTTTTTCCCTTGAATATTTGCGACCTGTGGTTGGTTGAATCCATGGATGCAGAGGGCTGACTGTACTGACACTGCTAAAATACTGAATCAGTACAACAGCATTTGAAGAAAAAAGAGCATTGGATTTTAAGACCAGATTTCTTTGTGCTATTTTTGGTCAGTCCTCCCTCCTTCTGACTGGAGTAAAACCAGGCCACTCTGCTGAATGACTAATTCACCAAATTATTGAGATTGTTTTGGTACTTTTAGTTGGTTTTGTTCTGACTTTGCTAGAGTTGTTGTTTCTCAGATTTGCAATTCCTGCAACATTTTATATATTAAATGAATGGGCTTTCTCTTAATCATGGTTTGTCTTTTCTATTTTTGTGGATTTATGGACTCATACTTTTATGGACTCCTACATCTGCATCTGCTACCTCCTCCCCCACCCCAAGAATTTTCCCAGTTCAATTTAAGATATTTGGCTGAGAGTCTTCAATGAATCAGTCTTTTGACAAACTGATCATTCAGGCTCTGCACTGAAGCCAAACAGTGTATTTCCCATAGCGTCAATTATATCCTTAATAGAAGTAACTATAATAGTTATTTTACCTTCCAACTAACTTCTGTCACTGGGACAGGAATTTCCCATTTTAACCAGCATGGAGACTAAATAGCCTAATAATTCAAATTACCATATATATTGGGATTATCAATTTTCAGAGAATGAAAACATAATATATTGAGCTTTGAAGCAATGTGGGAAAATAATTTTTAAAAAAATAGTCTAGTTTTTCAAGCTCTTCTAGAGACCAAGAGCCAACATTATAAGCACACACTGTTGAAGGCAGAGGATAGCAGACTCGCTTCGTCCAGACTCACAGAGGCAACCGGAAATGACCTTTTGGTAGAAATCACTCCTACCTGCATGGCTGCCACACCAACCCCACCTCTATCCTCTCCCTCCAATAGTTCACTCAGAGATATGTCTAACTACACATGGATGGGCATGAGGGCAGAAGTAAGGCTGAGAACCCTTTGGACCACTTTGTCTTCTAGTTCCTCTGGGTTGAAGAAAGGTGGAAAGTCCAGTTTCCAACATCAAAGCCCCATCATCATCATCATCAAGGCCTCCTCTACTAAATCTGGGAAGAATTCTACACCAAGTGTATTAGAGAGAAAGGAATGTGATTGATACTGAATGTACTGGGGAGAAAGGGATGTAATTTCCTTGTGCAAATACACACTTAAACTTGGTATTCAAGAACTTAATAGTCACCTCTGATGCTCTCAAGTAACATCAAAGATCCATGACACATGGAGTTGACAACCTGTTTGACGTGCTACTTAATTAGTTCTTGAATAGTCACAGGTTGAACTCTCATAAGCTGAAAGCTCATTTCCTGTAGGTGCAATGCTATTTAAATTGGGGTTCTGTTCCTGGAAGTCCATCATAAGACTAGTAAAACGTAATTAAAAAATAAAACAGATATATGGTTTTGCAAAGTTAAGAGTGTAAAACCAAACATGAAAGAAGCTATAGCATAAACATTTCTTTTGGGAATTATTCTGCATGGCTAATACTGAGGCTTCTTAAAGTATCAGCCCAGTGAAAGTCTGGACTGCAGAGGTGATCTCTTTCTTGTAAATGTTCCCAAGCGAAGCAGGGAGGAAATTTCTTGCAGCAAGGATCTTTGAACTTCTTATGCATATGACAGACTGAAGGAGAAAAGCAAAGCCCCATCCAAGCTATGAAAGGTTTTAACTAGGTAACCTTCAGCATTAGCATCAGATCACCTCGGCATTAACATCCCTGGGACTACATGTGGGTGCGCACATGTCCACACGCTTTCAAAAAATGCCACTGTGTACCATGTGGCTACTGGGTCTTGAGTGTCCATTTTAGCCATGATATTAAGGTATTAAAAATTAATACCTTTGAGAAAAGAAAAATGTGTATAAAATGAATTTACATTGGCATATTTCAAAAGAGAACAAGAAAGCTTCCACAATGTTTTCTTCTCCCTGTATTTTTCTGTAGGAAACTCAAATTTTTTAGTAGGAAACTAGTATTTAAAAAGAAACTACCCTTCCACCTAAATTCAAATGGGACATTAACAAGTTTGCTTTAGAAGTCAACCTCCAGATTACACACACTGTTCACCATTCTTTTTTTTGAGACAGAGTCTCGTTCTGTCACCCAGACTGCAGTGCAGTGGCACAATCTCGGCTGACTGCAACTGTCACCTCCCAGGTTCAAGTGATTCTCCTGCCTCAGCCTTCTGAGTAGCTGGATTACAGGCGCCTGTTAATTTTTGTATTTTTAGTAGAGATGAGGTTTCACCATATTGACCAGGCTGGTCTCAAACTCCTGAACAAGTGATCCGCCCTCCTTGGCCTCCCAAAGTGCTGGGATTACAGGCATGAGTCACCGTGCCAAGCCTATACACTCTTTCTGAGAGTGTGCCATCATGCAATAAAAGTTCAGCATTTATACAGTATTAAATATATACATATATGAATTTATATGGTATGACTAAATAAACAAAGGCATTATGAAATGTGCCATATAGCAATTTTTTTTTTTCTGTTGCCCAGGCTGGAGTGCAATGGTGTTATCTCGGCTCACTGCAACCTCCACCTCCCGGGTTCAAGCAATTCTCCCACCTCAGCCTCTGGAGTAGTTGGGACTACAGGCGTGCACCACTATGCCGGCTAATTTTTTGTCTTTTTAGTAAAGATGGGATTTCGCCATGTTGGGCAGGCTGGTCTTGAACTCCTGACCTCAAGTGATCTGCCTGCATTGGCCTCCCAAAGTGCTGGGATTACAGGCATCAGCCACCACACCTGGCCATATAGCAGTTCTTAAAGTGGCCCCTGGCCTGAAGTGTCAGCATCACCTGGCCCTATCCTGAATCAGAAACTTTAGGGTCATGGCCTAGCAATTTGTTTTAACAAGCCCTTCCAGGTGATTCTGACTCATTCTGAGTCAGAGAACCACTGCCATAAAGCATTTACTTTCTGCTAGAGGGGATACTACAGCAGAGGTCAAGGTAGATCAGCTGATGATTGTGTGAGATGACACTGCAGTTCAGGATGGGAAAATTTTGGTGGAGGGAGGGGGATCCAGAGGCTTTGGGCTTCTCAGGTTACCTTCCTTCCTAACCCTATTTCCTTTTAGGCCATTTTTGTAACTGGAATAAACGATAGGAACTAGGGTTGCTGTGGCATGTTCTCTGTTTGAGGACTGTTTCATTTTCCCACAGTTGCACCTGGACTTGATATGAAAGTAACCATTAGAAAATTAACAGATCTTAAACTTGCCTACCAAGACACCTGCATCCCTTCCCCACTCAGTCCACATAAAGGTTGGGATGGCAGAAAGGGTTATACCTCTCCTCCCAGAGTTGGTGCCTATGACACTGATGACACTGGTGTGGCAAGTCAAAGTCCTACACCCACCAGCACACTTATTAATTAATTAGTTCCAGATTGGTCTACGCTGGTGTAATCAGAGTGAATCTCAGAATTTTAGAAAGAGTTGTGAGTAGAGACTGACTTTCCTGCTGAGTCTCTGGGTAGCTGTGAGGCTGAACAGCAGCATCTACTTTATTACCATCTTATTGTCATTCAAAGAAGGCAGAGCTGAATGCTGGAGGAAAACTAGAAACAGTTTTTTTTTTTGTTGCTGTTGTTTTGTTTTTTTGAGATGGTGTCTCACTCTATTGCCCAGGCTGGAGTGCAATGGCGTGATCTTTGGCTCACTGTAACCTCTGCCTCCTGGATTCAAGCGATTCTCCTGCCTCGGCCTCCTAAGTAGCTGGGATTACAGGTGTGTGCCACCACACCTGGCTAACTTTTGTATATTTAATAAACACTGGGTGGGTTTTACCATGTTGGGCAGGCTGGTCTTGAACTCCTGAAGTGCCTCCCAAAGTGCTAGGATTACAGGCGTAAGCCACTGCGCTGGGCCCTAGTAACAGTTTTTGAACCCTGAATATTGTCATAACTGAAGCTAGAATTATCCCTGGACTTGTTTGCCACTAAAATTTCCTTGTTTTGCTTATCCTGGTTTCAGCTGGCATCTTGATCACTTGAAAGGAACATAACGGATACACTGTTCTTTTTCTTTCCTTCCTCTTCTCTGCCTTTGACAATTTTAAATTAGAAATCTACCTGCCTCTAATCCCTTTCTCTCATTTACTGCTGCCTATTTTCCAAAACACTGCTTCTCGAATATTCCTGGCTCAAAAATCATCTATGTCTTCATGACATGTGAAACCCCTAGAATCCAGCCTTTCCCCAGCTTTTAATATCTCCTAATCAATCTCTCAATTCCAGTGAAATGATTCCATTTATTTTTATCCCAAATGCATCACAAATATTCCTAGCTCTTGAGGTAATTTTCTCTGACTCTTCTCAACTTCTCTAAATCCTTTTTAAAATTTCTAGCTCAAGTTGTGTCTTATCATATTCTGAGTTCCTTTTTCTGGCATTGTATTATTATCTTTCCTCCCATGTACACACGTGTACATTATCTCCCTGATAAAACTAACTGCCTAGAGGATAGGAATAAAGACTCAATTCTAATATCCTTGTTACCTAATAATACACAAACGTGATACATGTTTGAATAAATCGCTGTTAAATATTTTATGTCTTGAGTGTCATTCTTTAGCAATCTCAAAGTTGTAAAGTAATTTGAATCTTACCTTCAAATCAAGATGAACTACATCATGAGTGTGTAAAAAGTGAACACCTTCTAGAATCTGTCGCATAAGTCTTTGAACATCTTTTTCTTTAAAGGCTTCTTCTCTGTCTGCAACACACTGGTCAAAGATTTCACCCCCAGCAGCACTAGAGAACGGTAAAATTAAAGTAATATATAACTCATAAGAAATGGCAAACACACTAAAACTACAGAGTAAATTAATTACAGTCTGGCAGTAACTGTATACTTTTTAAAAATTTTATTTTTATTTTAAAAAATAGAGATGAGACCTCACTGTGTTGGCCAGGCTGTTCTCAAACTCCTGTGACCTAGCAGTTCTCCCACCTTGGCCTCCCAAGGTGTTGGGATTACAGGTTTAAGCCACTGTACCCAGCCTGTATGATTGTTAACATGGATTTGACAACCTGAATCAAAACGCAGTATAAGCTGAGCCAACTCAGTTCCAAGCAGCTCGAGATGCACCACAACATAATGTACGGTTTACTAAACCCTCTGTGCATATAGGCCACAATTTGCTGGCAATAGAACTGTGTTCCTCAATTGAAATGAAGAATTGCATTTTGGCTGAAACAGTATCTTAATCTCAGTTTATTGTCATAGTCCTTCAGCCCAGGACTATCAATTTACATAAATACAAGGATTTCTTTACCTAAATTTTAAGAGCATTAGTCGCTTTACACTATAAAGTTACCCATTCTTGCTTTTTTTTTTTTGAGATGGAGTCTTACTCTGTTGCCAGGCTGGAGTGCAATGGCCCAATCTCAGCTCACTGCAACCTCTGCATCCTGGGTTTAAGCAATTCCGCTGCCTCAGCCTTCTGAGTAACCAGGATTACAGGCATGTGCTACCACACCTGGCTATTTTTTTTTTGTATTTTAGTAGAGATGGGGTTTTACCATGTTGGCCAGGATAATCTCGATCTCCTGACCTCATGATCCACCCTACCTTGGCCTCCCAAAGTGCTGGGATTACAGGCATGAGCCACTGTGTCCGGCCCCATTCTTGCTTTAACAAATGGTTCCCTCTTGGTTTTCTCAACAATTTAAGTAGTTTACATAAGCACAAAACATACTGCTAACTACAGTTTTATGAAAATGTTCAAGGACGTATTTCAAATACAGACTATTGTAAGAAAATAAAGGCCAGGGCATGGTGGCTCATGCCTGTAATCCCAGCACTTTGGGAGGCCAAGGCAGGTGGATCACGTGTGGTTGGGAGTTGGAGACCAGCCTGACCAACATGGAGAAACCCCATCTCTATTAAAAATATAAAATTATAGGCCTTCATGGAGAAGTAAAAAAAATTAAGAAAAAAACCCACAAAAAAACAAAAATATAAAATTAGCTGGGCGTGGTGGTATATGCCTGTAATCCCAGCTACTGGGGAGGCTGAGGCAGGAGAATCACTTGAACTTGGGAGACAGAGGTTGTGGTGAGCCAAGATCATGCCATTGCACTCCAGCCTGGGCAACAAGAGGAAAACTATGTCTCAAAAAAAGAAAAAAAAAGAAAATTGAAAAGCTAGATTGAGTGACCATTAAGAGGACATTCCTCTCAAAAAAAAAAAAAAAAAAAAAAGACTACATTCCTCTCAGTACAACATAATCATATAACCCTGTTTAACTGGATTTTACCCATTAACTAATTACCATATTAACCCATTAACTAATTACCATAGAAATTAGAGAAGCCCTCCAATAGCTTTGCTTTGTTTATCTTTAACTACAGCAAGATTACTTTTTAACCAAAAAATTTTACTGGGAAATTAATTTAAAAACTGTTGACAAAGTTTTATCAAAAACTACTTTACAAAAAACATTTAGAATTTAAAAATTTCAACTTTCTAGTGGTCCTTGGAAAGTTATGAGATGATTATCTTTTGACCAACATTATTCAGAGCCATATAACTGATGTTTAGAAGCTAACAGTAACAGTTTCCCTAGCTGCCCGCACCTTAGCTGTATCATAGCTCCCAGCCTCAGGCACCAAACACTTTTTTCTATCTAAACTAGCATTTCCATTTCTGTCCGGCTTTGAGGCCCAGTTTGGATCTTTACTTTCTCACTATTGAAATCCAACAAAGCATCAAATATGTTAGGCCTTATGCTCTGTCCTAGAGATAGAAAGATAATTGCAAATAAGTATGTCTGGTCCTTCAAGCACTAGTGGGGAAGACAAAAATAAAATATATTTAAATAACAAATACATATGCATTGATATATGCATGAAATTACATATTAAATGACTTGATAACTTGGCAACTGAGCAATTAATTGGAAAGGAAGTAGAAAAAAATCTTAGAAATATGACATTTACTCTGAGCCTTGAAGGATTACTAGGAGTTCACTAGATGAAACGGTAACAGCGCATCCCAGGCAGGGGGAGCACATGTATGAGGGCACATTGTGTGAAAAACACATGGCACACTCATTAAAGGGCAAGTGCCTACTTCCCCATCCAACCAAATGGTATGGCACTTGCCTTCTGGCTATTAACAACTAGAAAATTAAAGCATGTGAACCAACTGCTTCAGGCATTAGCACAACAGGTGTAAGACCATGAGCTGTGAGAAGTAAGCCCTCCAATCTTCCCACTTGGTAACAATTTATGGACAGTGTTACACGGTAGGGGAGGAACCCAAGTAGCGGCAGAATGTAGCAGCCTTGCTAAGCTGAGAAGACAGACTGGGAGTTTGGCAAGGCTAAGACAGCTGGAATTGGCAAGTGAATAACAGAGAAGAGGGGGCTGCACAGAGAGATCTACTCAACAGTAACTCGGAAATTATAAGGCTGAGAAATTCCCAGTGTTCATACAGAACAAGGTAAGACATCTGAATTTTGTCAAGCTGGAGTAGAAAAACCACTCTAAACACTGGGGCAACGAAGAGATCCCTTTGGGAGGGCCATCCTTTGTATCAAGGCTAACCTAGTTCTAGGTCTGTCCTAACCAAGATGATCTACAAGTAATTTAAATGACTGCCAAAACAAACGCCATCATTCTTTAATGGAATAAAATCTCAATCCTGCAACATTCCAAATATATGTCATTTTACCAAAAATTTCTAGATAACTGAAAATGCCACAAATTACAATGCATAACCAACAGGAAAAATAATAAAAGCAGACCCAGAAATGACAGAGATGATGGAATTGGCAGATAAGGACCTTAAAACAGGCATTATAAGGGATGCTCAATGATTTAAACTAAAACATGAACATAATCATGTAAGAGATGGAGGTTATGAAAAGAACCAAAAGGAACTTTCACAGGTGAAAAGTACAGTACCTGAAATGAAAAACCCATTGGATAGTCTAAAGCAGATCAGACACTGCAGAAGAATCAGTGAATTTTAAGACACAGCAAAATAAGCTGTCTATGTGAAGCACAGAGAGAGAGAGGGAGGGAAAAAAGACTGAACAAAACAAATAGGACCCCAGGGACCTACAGGATAGCATCAAGCCATTTAATACACTGTATTAGAAACATAATGGCTGAAAATCTCCAAATCTGATAAAAACTATAAAGAAAAAGATTTAAGGAGCTCAATGAACTCCAAGCAGGATAAATACAAATAAAACCAAGGCACCACACTCAAACTGCTAAAAGCCAGTGAGAAAGAGAAAAATCTTTTAAAAAGCACATTTATAGGTGAACCAAGGTAAGAATGATCACAGACTTCTTGTTGTAAATAATGTAGGGAAGACGACAATGGACTGACAAAAAAGAAGTGTGCTGAGAATGTAGGGTGAAGTAGAAAAGGACTAGCAGCAGGAGACAAGGTAGAATAGAAGACAGAGAGAAGAGCACAGGATGAGGGCAAAACAACCCAAAAAATTCAGAGTAAGGCAATTGATGGGCTAATATATACCACTAAATGCCTCCTCCTCCAGGAAGCACTCCTTAACCTGCCAGGAAAAGTAAAGGAGCACAGCATATGGATAAAAGCAGAAGCTTTGGAATCACACACTCCTGGACTAAATTCTGGCTCTGCTATTTGTAATATAGCACAACCTGAGGGTTTTTTTTTTTTTTTTGGGACGGAGTTTCGCTCTTGTTACCCAGGCTGGAGTGCAATGGCGCGATCTCGGCTCACCGCAATCTCCACCTCCTGGGTTCAGGCAATTCTCCTGCCTCAGCCTCCTGAGTAGCTGGGATTACAGGCACGCACCACCATGCCCAGCTAATTTTTTGTATTTTTAGTAGAGACGGGGTTTCACCATGTTGACCAGGATGGTTTCGATCTCTTGACCTCGTGATCCACCCGCCTCGGCCTCCCAAAGTGCTGGGATTACAGGCCTGAGCCACCGCGCCTGGCCATCGAGTTTTTTCTTATATAAAATTGTGTTCTAAAATTTATAAACAGTGTATATAAAGCATATAAATAATATATATAAAGCTGGAAGACTTAGCATAGTGCCTGGCACACAGTAAATGTTTAATACATTTTGACTATTATACTCTAGTTCACACAACTAATAAGAATTCCTAGTAAATCATCAACATTGCTGCAGTCATTTATAGGCTGAATATCCCTTCTCTTTAAATGTTTGTAACCAGAAGTGTTTGGGATTTCACATTTTTAAATATTAGCATATACATAATGAGCTATATTGGGGGAGGGGACCCAAGTATAACACACAATTTATTTATTTTTCATATGCAACTTACATATGTAGCCTGAAGGTAATTTTATCCAGTATTTTAAATAATTTTGTGCATGAAATAAGTTTGTGTACACTGAACCATCAGAAAACAAAGGTGTCACTATCTCAGCCACCATGTGGGATCACAGCAAGTTTACACTTACACACACCTGCTTCATTAGCACAGCCCCAACATCGTTATTCTGTCCTTAGCATCCTTAATTCCTGTAGATGTGATCTCATCAGCTCTGGTCAACATCTTTCTGGGACAATACATGAGGTCAGATGTGGAATTTTCTACTGTGGCATCACTTAGTGTTCAAAGTTTCATACTTTGGGACATTTCAGATATCCAGGTTAAGAATGCTCAACCTCCATATCTATTTCCTTTGCTAGACTTTTAGCACTTGGAGATAAGGGGCTATGATTTTTTTTTACTTTTTATATTGTCAGCACCTATTAGTATCTAGTGCACATGGCAGG